AATTTGGACGGACAAGAACAATATCCAGGAAAAAAATATGGGTCAAATCCCTGGAATAAGAGGCTTTGAAAAAAAGGACATCATGAGCCCATTTCGAAGCCTAATGTAGGAGATTGTATTATTGGTGAAATGATGGGAAGGTTGGCTGAGCCAGGTGCTGCAGTTTTCTACTCTGTTTGCAGGAAAGTGGATAGTTATGCAATGTGTGCACTAGCAGGCTACAACCTGGAATTTTCCTTACCATCCAGTTATCACTCCAGCTCACCCAAACTGTGTAAATTTGCATTTGTTCCAGTATCACTTCCCTAGCCATGATGGGACCACACTGAACCAGTTCAAAGCCCTGGATAAAACAAAATGTTATCATTAATATAATGATATAAGAATAAATTATATTGATTGAATCCATTTATTATGTGTCAGACCCCGCTAATTGGCTTACTAGGATTCTCTCATCTGATTTACACATAATAACTCTTTAAGATAGTACCATTGTTAGCCTGATTTCACAGATGAGAAAAATGAAGTACAGAGAAATCTAAGTGACAGAGCCACATTGTGAACACAAGCGGTCTGCCCAGAGAGCCTGAGCTTTTAACCACAATGTTATACTGCCTCAGAGTCAAGCGCTTAGTAGGGGTTATGCATTGGGCTGCGATCTGCATGGTCAGCAGTTTGAAACTGCCAGCAGCTCTGCAGGAGAGAAAGACTGGGCTTTCTACTCCTGTAAACACTTACAGTCTCCGAAACCTATATGGGGTCACTGTGAGTCCACATTAACTCGAAGGCAGTGAGTTTATTAAGTTTTACTCTCCAACAAGGGAGGCTGTTGACAGAGTAGTTTAGCGCTCAGCTGCTAATTGAAAGACTGGTGGTTCCAACTAACCACCAAGCGGCCACTTGAGAAAGATGTGGCACTCTGCTAAAGATTTACAGGCCTGGAAGCCTTATGGGGCAGTTGTGCCCTGTACTGTGAATTGGAATAGACTGAGCAAGCAGTGGATTTGATGATTTTATTCTTCAACAGTTTGCAACATTTTGGAACTCTGGCAATTCTTGGGCTCGCCCCAAAACTGCTTGGTTCCTAATGCAATTTGTCTGTGTCTTAAGAATTTCCTTCATCTATTAGAACCTACCCCATCTGAGCTAGGAATCCATTAGGGTCCACAGAAACAAGAGAAGCATCCACATTGCATAACAACCAAGTATCTTAGGTGTTATATCGGAGTAGGCAACAGCAGGTGGTGCCCTGCTCAAAGATGGAAGCCTACCAAGCCACAACACATGTTCACAGTAGCGCAGCTGGCTGCCATCTTTGAGCTGGGCATCACTGTCTGTTTCCTACTCACAATCAAAATTCAACACACAGAGATTTGGTTGTACTGCTAAACGCATGCTGCCATTGTTTACGTAGGCCATAACGGAACCATTTCATGCTGGTTGGAAGCCCTGATCTGGCACACGTTTTCAGGAAAATATCTAATTGTCTTTATGTATTTCCATTTAGCACTCTATTTCACATTATGCCCACATCCTAGAGCAGTGATTCTCAACCTTTTAATGCCGTGACCCTTTAATATAGTTCCTCATGCTGTGGTGACCCCCTAACCATAAAATTATTTTTGTAGCTACTTCATAGCTGTAATTTTGCTACTGTTATGAATGGGGCGACCCCTGTGAAAGGGTCGTTCCACCCCTAAAGGGGCTGCGACCCAGGGGTTGAAAACTGCTGTCCTAGAGAGTCCTTTCTCCCACATCTCCTTCCTGTACTGTGCCATTCAGGAATTATAAAATATTTATGTATCATTTTGATTTACCCTTCCTGCTGCTTTCGGGGCATTGTATTCAGACCTAAGTTTGAATCCCAGAATCACAATTGTTTCCTTTTGAAAAATTCACAGCCTCGCTGCATACTATAGCACCATCTCCAAATCAAAGATAATACCTACTTACTTAATTTTTGTAAAGGCTTAAGGAGGAATTATCACTGTTTGCTTACCCTTTCCTCCAGACCCTTCTCTCAAAAGACCAAACTCCTCGGGGCCATCAACTCACTTCGGACCTAATAGGGTCTTGTAAGGTTTGGTAGCAGTCCCTGCCCCTCGGGGTTTCTGAGGCTGTAGATCTTGCTGGCAGCAGACAGCCTCATCTTAAGCCGAGTCTGAACTGACTAAATGGCAGGAGTTTCTGTTTTATCCTGTTCTGGCTCTCAGTTCTTCTCTCAGAGAATCGTGGCTACGGAAGGAAGGATCGGCCTCCGTAGTGAGTGGGCCGAGAGCTTGTTTCTCGTCGCCCTGTCGTTCTCAGCGCATGTGGGGGATGACACCTGTGTTTAAGTTCCGCTCAAAGGTGAGCCACTTACAAGGCTGTGTAGCAAATTCATGGAAAATGTCTGTTGTCTTTTCATTCCATTGTCCCATGAACTTTTGAAGCCCCCTTGCACCTATTTGATAGACTATTTTGAAGATTAAATGACATACATTCTGTTCATATGTGGCAAATATTTGATAATGCATTAAGTTTATCACACATGGGGCTACCATATATTGAAACCAATCAAAAGCAATGAGTTTTTATGCTTGTTTGTTTTTTAGCCAGTCAATAAATTTTAAGTACCTAGTTTTGTGGTATGGGATGATTGAACTGTATAAGGTCCTTTTTCCCCCTTAAATAACAGATTAAATAATAGATTAAAAGATATCAGGATGGTAAGGAAGAATCAGTTAAGCTGAGAAATAGTGAGTTACTATGTTTTTTTACTTTAATGACTTCCTGAAACACCTTAAAGCACTTTTAACTAAAGCTCAAGCCCTTGTAGATGCTACTATCTGTCTAGGACTAATTGTACTCATATATTTCAGTTTTAGCCTGTGATATTTTTAATCACCCTGAGAGGATATGTCTAAAACTCTTTAAAAGCACTAAGAATTTTTGTATTTTTTGCTATAGTTCAATTTATCACTGATGTTAAAGTGTATAAGCAATATCCAACATAGAATGTCTATTTATTTCACAGTTGTGTGTTTAAAATAATCAAAGCTCTAAGAGTTAACAATTTTTAATGTCCCAATGTAAGCCAAATTGGGTTTTTCCACCCTTGCTGTTTTATCAAGATATGTAATTAACTTAGCTGTTAATAGTGGTGATGTATAAGTAACAACAAAGTACACTTGATTTCTATGAATCAGAAACTAGAAAAATCATCAAATGATGAAAGAAGTATAACAGTATTTCCAGCATTAAAACGTAATAAAAGCATGACTAGAAATTGTGAAAGACTAACCAATCTACGGATTATTTCAGAACTCTAACTTTAATATACTTTGAAACTAGGAGGGAGTAAATGACAAATCAGAGTTTTGAAAACTCAAATGGGGCTTTAATGTATCATGTAATTCCTCTACATTCAAATGGACCATATGTTATTTCTCTTCATGATCTTCAAATCAGTGAAAGAGATAGAAAACTGTTCCAAACAAATAGCATATTCATTTTGAAAATTCTGGCCTATAAGAAATCCTTGAAGATAAACAATATATGTGTGTGTGAATTTAGTTGATAAGTAGATCAAGGAAAAATTTAAATATGAATGTAAGTCAAAAAGTGTTGCTGTAAAATCCTAGGCATACCAAAATATGAAGCTGTTGTTTCTTGACATATTTTCCGTCTAGGCCTACTCATATCTGATCTAACCTTTCCCTGAAAAATTCTGTAGTTGTTTTTTTGCTTTGTCTTTTTACACATCAAAATGCCACTTTTGACGTACTTGAGGGGTTCAAACTATGTTCCTTTCATTGTTCTTTGAGTTTGGGAAATAAAAAGAAGTCTGAAGGGGCATGATCAGGGCTATGTGGTGAATGGGGCTTGGTTTTCTGATAAGATCTTGCAGGATAGCTCTCGTTGCTCTTGCAGCAGGTGCATTGTCATGAGGAAAGAAACTCCTCAGTGCAACTTTTCTGGCCTTTTTCTTATCAATACAGTTTATGATTTTCTTAAAATTTCTTCATACTAAACCTCTGTGATCATCTTGTTTCCTTCAAGAAAATCTGTCAAGATTGTTGTTATTGCTAGGTACTGTTGCAGTCATTCCAGTTCAGCAACCCAACGTACAACAGAAGAAAACTTTGCCTGGCCCTGCACCATCCTCAAAATTCATTGTTCTTTTGTTTGAGCCCATTGTTGAATCCACTGAATAAATCCAGCTTGTCTTGGGTCTTCTTCATTTTTGCCTTTCTACTTTACCAAGCATGATATATCCTTCTCAAGGAACTGGTCTCTCTTGATAACATGTCTGCTGTGCAGTAGGTTTTCAGTATCTGCCAGTGTTCTGCTTCTATCCAGAAAGTTATCAGTGGCTAATCCCCCTAAAGTGGACAGCCTATAGCATCGTCGTAGTCTATTGGTAGTCTAGACACTCTGCTGAAACCTGTTCACTTTGACCCAGTTGGTATTTGCAATATCAGTGCCCTACCTTCCAGCATCACAGCAACACACAAGCCATCCCAGTACGAGAAACAAACAGAAAAAGTGGTCGCTTTTTTCTGGAATCACAAAGGGGTACTCTTGATGAGATCACCCTTGGGAATTCTGAAGATCCCCTTGGAAGCCACTGTTTTGATTGGACCTTTTCCCTGGATCTTATTTATGAATCCAGACTTGTCTCTGGTAAAGATTTATTCCGTAAAATTGCTTTTATTATCTTTGATCATGGTTGAAAGATTGAAAGAAATATCAGTTCTTTGAGCTACCTAATTTTTATACAACATTTTTTTAATAACTTCTTTTAGAAGGCACCCTAGAAAGACTAGGACAAATGTATTACTACGGAGAGAATTCATCTACAGCCATCTACTGTTCACAGAGGCATGCTTTAAACATGTTTTACTTGGAATAAATCCGTATGTCTGTATACTGAAACTTCAGTTGTAATCTTTTTTGAATTACCTTCATATTTTCTATTTCCATCATCGTATCCATTACATATATCTTTTCATTTCTAGGAAATGAAAGCTACAAACAAATAGCAATGTGCATTCTCTACCACATAAGCATGGACGACCGCTTTAAATCAATGTTTGCATACACTGACTGTATACCACAGGTGAGCAGTTTAAGTATTTTAAAGAAGATTATTAAGAAATATGTATTTTTCACTCTTGTCGTGATCATGCTAGATCTACTGTTTCTTTAAAAATAAATGAATTATCTTTTTATGAGTAATATAATTTTGTTAGAGAAAATTAGGAAAGTACAGTGTAACATAAAACCCAGAAATAACTATTTAAACTTTTGGTGTGTTTCCTTCTACATACTTTAGAAGTAGTTATATATCAGCATTATATGATATATAATTATGCATTATATAATAGATCATAAGTACCCTTCTATGTCATTGAGCAGTCTTCAAAAAATATTTCTAATGGGTATGTTATATTGTATGGTTGTATCATAATATAACCATTGTTAAATTTTATATTTAAACTTTTTCCTCTTCAATATTACACATATGAATATATGTTAAGTAAATATATATGTTGTTAAATATGATCTATAGATATAATAACCATTTAAATTCTTTGTCATGTAACAAATACCTTCCAAGGTATTTTATATATGGTCAATCAACATTCAAACATTTCAAAGGTAGCACCAACTGTATTGAAGTTTGTGCTAGGCATTAGCCAAAAGCAATACTCAATGAGATGATGGAATATCAATAGAAATATTCCAATAAACTAAAAATCAATAATTCAATCTTGGCACTAGTTCATGCCAAGAAATTTGGAAGAGAGTTACCTGGCCAACTGAGTGGTATAAATGCATATTTGTGCCCATTCCAACGAAAGCTGACCCAACTGAATGCAGAAATTATGGAACATCATTATTAATATCACATGAAAGAAAGTAAAATTTCACTGAAGATGTTTCAAGAATAGTTGCAGCAGTACATCAACAGGAGCTGCTAGAAATTCAAGCTGGATTCAGAAGAGGATGTCAAACAAGGGATAGTATTACTGATATCAGATGGATTTCGACTGAAAGTGGAGAATACCAGGAAGAGATTACCATGCTTGATTCCAATAAGCATGCTAGCTATACTTCTAGGATACATTCAGTCTATATTCTGTGTTCTTTACCAGCACCATAATTCCAATGTATTGATCCTTCTGCTTTCTTACTCAGTGTCCAGCTTTCACATGCATATGAGCTGAATGATGAAAATACCTTGGCTTTGGTCAGGCACACTTTAGCTCTCAAAGTGACATCTTTGTTCTTTAATACTTTGAAAAGGTTTTATGCAGATTTGCCCAATGCCCATCCTTCGAATTCTTGACTGTTGCTGCCCTGAGTGTTCCTTGAGGCTCCAAATAGAATGAAATCCTGGAGAACTACAACCTTTTCACCATTCATCATGATGATGTCTATTTGTCCAGGTGTGAGGACCTCTACTTTCTTTATATTGAAGCATCCGCCACTTGTCTGTCAGTTTGCCATAGTGTGCTGGCTTGTGTGTTGCTGTGACACTGGAAGCTATGTCATTCATATTTCAAATGCCAGCAGGGTCACCCAAAGTGAACAAGTCTCAGTGGAGCTTCCAGACTTAGAGCGGACAATATAGAAGGAATCTGATGCCCACGTGAGAGGAAGTAGCTACTGAAACCTTATGCATAGCTTCAAAACATTTTCAGACACTGAAGCCCCAATTAATGGACGCAGAACAAATTTACAGATTGTATAATATACAGCAAAAATAACACTTCTGAAGACATTTTATGAGCATATGAATTACAGTCATATTTACTGGTGATTTCTCATAAGACTAATGTGAGTTTAATGTATGTTACTTGCTAATTAAAATATATTTAGAGTAGCCCATAATTTGCCATTTCATTATTTTTTGTACCATCCTATTCATTCCAAATTGGTGAAGCAACTCTAAAATTGAATCTGCTATTTCAGAATTTTAATAGTTTGCTTATATGCAATTAAAAGTTGATGTGCTTTTAAGGGTAATTTCTTAGCCTTTTATATCAGGAGAAAATCTAATAAGTCGTGTTTATAAGAAGAAGACATCCATGAAAAAACAGACATATCTTATCTAAGGAGACAGAACTTCTTATATAGATAACACATTTCAGACTGTAACCAATGCTAATGATAATCAAAATCTTGTCAGACAAGTATTCAATAAAAGAGTAACCATGTCAAAGGAAGATTACAGGTGATTTACTGTGGCACCACTCCACATGTTCTGAAGGTTTCTGTTTTGTACTTTCCAAGGATGTTTCTTTTGCAATCCCATTTAGTGTTCAAACTTCAGTGATTACAGGACAATGAATTAGAAACGAGCCAAACAAGAATCATATTGTTACATAGATCAACTCTGTTTATCTCATTTAGATTAAAATGAAAATAACATTTAAACAAAGGCAACATGATAACTAAAAAGTAGAGGAATTTTTTAAAATTAGGAGTTATTTTACTCTTTTATAATAGCCATCTCAATTAAAAAATTTTATTTTACATAAATGGAAAATTAAGACCTGTTAAATTACTTTTGAATCACTGTTCTTTCTCCAGTTTAAACCTTTATATAAGGACCCATGGTGGCACAATGGTTAAGTGCTTGGCTGCGAATTGTAAGGTTGGCAGTTAGCACCTCCACCCCCCACCCCAAACAGCTCTGCTAGAGAAAGTCTTGGTGACCAGCTTCTGTAAACATTACAGCCAAAAACCTGATGAGGAATTTCTGCTCTGCCACATGGGGTCCAACACAAGTTGAAAATCAACTCATCACCACCTAACAACAAAACTTTGCACGTAGACAGTGTACCTCCATACTTTTTCAAGAGCAGTATTCACCATGTTTTCTCACCAGATAATTTTCATACATCAAACATATCTGCAGTACAGTTTTCAGAATATTTATGATTTGTATTTTCTAAAGGTAGTGCAAGTGCTTAACACACTCAGTAAGGTTAGAGGTTCAGGTCCATCCAGAGTCAGCCTGGAAAAGAAGTCTTGACTATCATTCCCTTCTGGGAAATCAACTATCGAGAATCCTGCACAACAGTGGTCTGCACACGGAGTCTCCATGAGTCGGAATTAACCTGGCATGGGTAACTGGTTGGCTGTGTTCCATGAGTGAACCCTTTCATGACTCATTTAAGGTTCAGAGTTGTTTTACTTATTTTCTTTTTCTTGTTCTGTTTTTTTCTTCAGTTAAGGCCTAATTGTAATCATGAGGTTATATTACCAAATCATGTTGAAAACATCTTCAAGCTTGTTTAATACGAGGTCATATTTTGAGAAAACCAAATGATACTCTAGATATATTTGTTCCTAAAGTACATCCAACCTGTGTCTTGCACTTCAGGATTCAATTTTGGCATATTGGAGGATGGGGTCGGGGGATCGACATGGTTTAATTGCCACCCAGAGCCAAATTCTCTGCAAAATAAAGTCATAAAAACAAATCAGGAATTAAATTTAAATTCACAAGTTTTTTCAGGAATTAAAAAGATACTCCTTTCATTGGTATTGGCAACTCAAAGCAGTACTTATAAAACTTATAAAACTTTCAAATAATTTGTGAAAGCAACTACCTAACCTACTTCAAGTGAAGTGTACCATATCAGTGTCACTGCCCAAGGAGAATGTGGAGTATGGTGGTTTTCTTTATTTGCATTAGATAATATATGCAAAGGAACCGTGTAGACTGTAAAACACTTTGCAAAAGTAAGGTATTGTAGTTAAAACATCATTTTGGACCTATCCATAGTCTGATTTGAATATCTCCTATCATATAGGTGTTTTATATGATAAATCTATAATTAGACAATAAGGCACTTTTATAAGCTATTTAACATCAGAAAAAGTGATTATATATATAACATGCTTTTTTTTTCGTTTTAGTACATAATTATGACTTTTTTAATAAATCGTTTTATTTATATATCCATATAGTTGTACCTATGTACATCATCATTTTGAAAACATTTCTTTCTGCTTGAGCCCTCGGTATCAGCTCCTCCTTCTTTCCCTCCCTCCCTCCCCCCACCATGAACCCTTGAAAAATTATAAATTATTATTATTTTCTCTATAGCATGCTTTGTAATCTCTTCCAATATTGCTTGATTTCTTTATTGACTTTAATTATCCAATGGCTAAAATAAAATTGTGGAAATTTCCGTTACTTTTTCATTCCATTTCACCATGAGCTTTTTGAAGCCCCATCATATGTTTGAATTTTCTACCTATATTCTCTCACTGATCTACAAAATCTGTAGGCCAGATCAGGTCTTTTTTTTAATACGTGAACTTAATGGTCAACTTGAGTAGATTGTTTCAGGTAAGCATACTTGGGGATAACCAGGAGTTAATGGTTGAATTCTAATAATAGTTAAAAGTACACATTAACAGTTCATTGTTATTTAGACCTCTGAGATGCATGTTTTGTTTAAATAGGTGCAAATGCCATCCAGATGCTTATAAAAAGTATTTATTGGTAATAGAATGGCCAATCAAAGTACATGGTTAGGTAGTGATGTCATGATGTTATTTAATATTTTACCCAAGAACAGTATGCAAGAATCTCATTGCTATCCACATGTTTTCAACCACAGTTGTCCTGCTTGGCCTGTCTTTGATCTACATGCTTCTTTCTAGCTGAATGCTGGTAAACGTCCTTTCTGACAGCCCCCTTTGCTCTTGCCTGCCATTATCTGCCGAAGTTCAGAAACCAGAGCATCACTTCAAACAGCAGAGTTAGGGAGTAGCCAGTCAGAAGAGATTCCTGAGGCATGCAAAGTTCTGGCATAATCATTCAAAGATGTTTGGGTAGGGGGTTGGGGTGGTAGAGGTGTATGTGAATACAGAGAGCTGTGGGGGTTGGCCTCTGGTCACTGGTAAATAAGTGAAGTCAGGTGCCAGAGAGTCTAGACACAGTGATTTCAGTCTTGGGTCTTTGGTATCTGATACTCAATATGGGACTTGTCTGATTGAACACTATTGCCTGGTCATTGTGCAAGCTGAAGCCCCTTTAAGTGCCTTCCTATTAAATCAGTAAAAGATGACAGTGAACATAGTTAAAACAGAACAAATCTAATTTTAATATTTCCGAGTTGGCAGCAATTACATTTACTTTTGAAGTGCCACAGGTAGCAATAAAATGAAATAAAGACAGCATTGCATATGGTGCTCGAACTAAACTATGGTTTTAAAATTAATTAAAATTGAAATGTTTCTCTTTCTTATTATGAAAACTAATTGTATATCGCATACATTCCATTCACATTTAACCCTAATTTCTTTTGAGTATTTGGAGGGGCGGGTAAGATTTCAAACCATGCCACCTCCCCCCACCCTTTTTTTTTTTTTACTATAGCTCCTGATCATTCATTTTTACACAGGATTTAACGTGGAAATTATCAAAATACTGGCCTAAGCTTCAAAATGTCATCTGAAAGCCCATTTTTAAGGGCAATTTTCATATTACAAAGGTCGATTTGAAGCAAATAATACCTATTAGGAATAAGTTTCTTGCCTCCTTAAAACTGTGCTTTGATGTCAATGATTTTCATTATTATAAAAAGCTGTTTTAATATAATATTTTGGAAGAAATCGGTAGTTGATTTTTAATTAAAGTATGAAAAACAGTGTTTATCGTAAAGAGAGGGTTGGCACTCATATTTTTATTAACTTGCAGTTTTTTAATTAGTAGTTAATGTACAAATACTTAGCAAAATCTGTTAAGTAAATGTGCCCAGTCAAGTAAGATTATTCTATTATTGTTCTACTGTCTATTCTGTAGCACTATTAAATGTTAATGATTTTGAGATTCCATTAACACCAACATTTTTGATTGAAGAACTGACCTCTGGGAAAAGACATGGTCAAAGCTTACATTTACCTATGGTAGTGTTTAGTACTTTTTAACATGCAGACCCAGTCTGAAGGTATTTTTGTATGTTTTTCTAGTTTCTAGTTTAAGAAATAATTCCTAAGAATTATTTGATTTTGGCAGGTGGGCGGGGGGGAGCAGTTGTAACTGACATTATGTTTTTAATTTGGATTTCCAAGTGCGTGTTACTAGCATGTAAGAATACAGTGAATTTCCATTTGTTTACTTTAAACCCTTTTTTAAACTCAAGAGTTACCTGGAACTAGCACACAAAATAATAAGAGCAATATTTAACAGAGTGGGAGCTATGCAGTCGATGTTTATTACATAGCTACTATATGCAAGATATTTTGTTGGATTTATGAAGGCATATTGACTGGAAAGTATTTCTCTGGGAATAAAAACATAAGAGAAATTAAAGTTATAAATTTTAAGGATCAGACTAAAAATTAATAGTTTGGACTTAAAGACATCTTTAATAGTACATATAAAACTTTTTTTGCGTTCATAATTTCTGGTGATTGGAATGAAAAAGTTGGAAACAGGAAGGATCAGTAGTTGGAAAATATGGCCTTGGTGATAGAAATGAAGCTGGAGATTCATGATGGAATTCTGGAAGACCAATGATTTCCTCATTATAAATGTTTTCTTCAATAATGTAAATGGTGACTATACACATGGAGCTCACTAGTTAAATACAAAAGAATAAAATTAACTGTACTGTGGGTAGAGATGATGGAGAAGCTAGATATCATCAGCCAAAACAAGACCAAGAGCCAATTGTAGAAGGGGCCATCAATTGCTCATATGTAAGTTCAGATTGAAGGTGAAAAAAAATTTAAACAAGTTCACAAGAGTCAAAATATAGCCATGAGTCTATGCCTCCTGAATTTTAAGAATGTCTCAAGAACAAATTTGACATATTAAACACTAATGACAAGTTGTAGAAAATCAAGAGCATAATACAATGAAGAAAGCAAAAAGTCATTAAAAAGACAAGAAATTACCAAAATGGATGTCAGAAGAGACTCTGAAACTTGTTTTTGTTCGTGACATTGCTAAAGCAAGTGGAAGAAATAATAAAGTAAAAGAGCTAAACAAAAAATTTTCAAGAGAAGCTCCAAAAGACAAAATAAAATATCATAATCAAATAGGCAAAAATGAATGATATGCTCAACATAACTCAAGCTGAAAGAAATGAAGATATTACCACCTGTTGGTATTTTAATATTAAAGAATTCTATGGGTAAAATACTGAACGAGGGAAAGGGAGGGAAGAGAAAGCAAATAGACTTGGCGGTTGATGCCAGTTAACTTGGTGAAGTGGGAGGTGGTCATCCACAAGAGGGAGACGAGAAAGCTAAGTGCAGGGAAAGGATAAACTATTGGAGGCTTTGATCGGTAGTTTAAATTGTTGAGTACGAAGTTAATGATCTAAAATGTAAACACCTACCTAATTTATAATTTTTTAAATAAAAGAAGATGAAAGGAATATACAGAGTCACTGTACCAAAATGAATTGTATGATGATCAACCATTTTGAGAACTTACGGTATTGAAAGAAGTGCGAGCTGCACTGAAGGCATTAGTGTAAAACAAGGCTTCAGGAATTGAAGGCTAATTGAAATATCAACAAGTTGGTGGAGCATTGGAAGCACTCACTAGTGTATGCCAAGACAGCTTCCTAGCTAGCCTATTGGAAGAGATCTATATTTATGCCATTCCAAAGAAAGGTGACCCAACAGAATGCAGAAATTAATGAGCAGCATCATGCAATTAGTTTGCTGAAGATATTTCAGTTGTAGCGATACATTAACAGGGAACTATGACTCATTCAACGCAGATTCAGAAGAGGACATGGAACAAGAAATGCCATTCTTAATGTCAGATGGATTTTGACCAGAACAGACAAATCTGTCTTGAATGGAATAAAACCAGAATAGTCCTTAGAAGCAAGGGAGGTGAAACATCATCTCATATACTTTGGACATGTGTTGGAAAAAAAGTCATGCTTGGTAAAGTACAAGGTCAGGGGGAAAGAGGAAGACCGTCAACAATATGAATCGGATGCAGCAATGGACTCAAACATAACAATTATTGTGCATACGGTCGCTATGTCAGAACCAAAGCCACAATGCCTAAAAATAACAGCAACAGATTGTTGATTTTTCAATAATAAACACTAATTTCCCAAAACTGATATGGAATTTGTTCATTTCTTAATTATTGCAACTGCCCTCAACATGACAAATGTAGAATCTGCCCAATGGTCACCTACTTTTTCCTCTTTGTAGCAGCTGCATCTTAGACCCTCCCCCCTTTCTCTTACTATTAATAGTTTTCTTCCCATTATACTCCTACCCTAATGGTTAGATTCATCTTATAACTTCAGTTATCAGTAACACCTAAATTATGCAATCTAAATTCCTAAAGTAAACCTGCAGTCTTTTTCTCTAAACTCAGGTCTGTGTGTCTCACTTCCTCCTATTTGTATCTATATAAAACTTACCTTATAGGCACCTTAAAATTAATTAATTAAAAATCAAAATCACTACTTCCCTTCAACCATTTCTTCTCCTGCATTTTCTCTTGTGGTTAATGTCAGCACCACCTTCCATGTCCTTTACTCCCTGTCAAAACCTAGGAATCAACCTAGACGTTTTGTTCTTCTTTAGCCCAGACATTAAGTCAGTTCTGAAATTCAATCTTTTTTTAAATTTTTTTTTAATTCAATCTGGATGCTCTTTCCAAAAATAGCTCTGATTCATCCTCTTATCTCTCAACTCATTGTACTACCCTAGTCCTGGCAGCCATTACCATACCTAGAATATACTACTAGCTCTCCAAAGGGGTTTCTGAATTGTGTTGCCCTGTTTCAATCTGCACTTGCTAGATCTTTTTGAAACGCAAATTTTAAGTCTGTAATAGCACCCCATTATCTTGAGGATATGCCCCCCAAATTTTTAATATATACTTCAAGACCTTCAAGATCTGGCCTTTAGATACTTCTCTCTCAGAACTCTTTCCCTCGCTATTGCATGCTTTTTTTCCTTCCAGATCTTCAGAAGAATCATGTTCTTTCCTACCATATGACCTTTGCACAAACTCTTTTCTTTGGCTGGAATACCCTGCTTCCAAACAACATTTTCAGATCTTTCAATCTAGAGGACTGATCTAATATTTCTTGTTTTCTCCACTGTCTGTATTAATGCCATGCATGCAGTAGTTGATTAACTGTGCATTTATTTAGCCATTCAACAGTGAGAGCCTGAAAAATGTAACTTATATTTTGTCATTTTCAATATATGATCTAAGATGACATTGTGATAAAATACTGCTTCTGAGGTCTGTTTGTTCTTTTTAAGTTAAGTATAGTCTGTGTTTCTTGCTAGTTAATGAAGATGCTCTTTGAATGTTCAGACGAACGAATCGACTTGGAGCTCGTTTCTTTCTGCATTAATCTTGCTGCTAACAAGCGAAATGTACAGCTGATCTGTGAAGGTTAGTGCCAGTGAGAGTCGCAGGGAGCCTCTCGGAATCTCTTTAGTATATGGCAATTGGCATATGATGGAATATATATGATAACGAATTAAGAATTATACTATGCATGTAACCCCTAATTTGAGATAGTTTCTTCACTATAGTTATCATCTTCCCTTGAGGAAAAGAGAACTCAGAATATTCATAGAGCAATTTGGCCATTCTCAGTGACATTTTAAATCATAACAAGTTAAGCTTAATTAAAATAACAATTTTCAAGCATTTTCTAGAAGAAACAAAACATTTGCGTATATTTCACTGAGTAAAGTATCTGTTGCAATGGGAGTTTTAAAAAAGGATGCATACAATTATATAGGTTATTGTTCCCACATTATTATCTTGGTAAATGGCCTGTAATGTATTATGTTTCATAAACTGTTCAATAGTTTTTTTATTATGTAAAAAGCAAGATGTTTATGATGAAAAGTGTAAGTAAGCAAACAGGATAAAGTTAAAATCTTTGTTCCCACCACCCAAGATAATTTTAGTATAAAATTTAGTGTAAGACAGCTGCATATTTCTATATAAAAATAATGTTCTACCTGGGAGGTTTTTTAACTAGTAGAATATTGGATATATTTCCATGGAGTAAGATACTTTTATAAAACATTATTGTTAATAATGAGCAAAGTAGTCCAAAGTAAAGATGTGCCATTGTAACCTGATACCTTGGGTATTTGGTTTGTTACTAATTCTTTTCTGTTCAAAAAAATTCTCATGTGATTGTTACTTTATCTTAATCCCTATACCATTTCATTTTTATATTAAGGTAAATACCTACAACTAAAATTGTACTGGGTTAAAGAGTATTTAGAT